TATATATATATATATGTATATATATATATATATATATACACATATACTGTATATATGGTGGTATGTTGAATGTGTTTTGTGTGTTCTGTGTTCTAGCAAATAATCTCCTGAATCATTGGATAACTGTTAATAAATTGAAGAAAGTAATCAGTAGATGTAAATCTACATTTCGCTGACAGGTTTCAGTTACTCAAACCCTCCAAAACTTTTTATTTTATTTCCCATTTGTAAAACGCTGATTTGCTTTGACCATAATAAGTCTACAATCTGACATGATCAAATAGAAACAAAATAAGACATATTTCATGAATGTAAATTTGCTAAAGCTTTTTCAGAAAATGTACAAATCCTACATTTGCTCATTTTCAAAATTTAACAAAAAAGGTTTTGTATGGAGTGATATGAGAAAATGTTACCCAGGGCTTTAAAAACAAACAGATAAAGAACAAGAAGAAAACTATTCTATTAAACACTTATAGATGAACCCAAATTTATGGATAATCTTTAATCTTTTCTTCTTCTCTCCTTTGCTCCATTTCAGAAGTACTGAAAAGGATAAGGGCAACCATGAAAAAAAGATGTGTATTTAATGCAGTATTTTGACAAAACAAAGTTTTTAAGGTTTTTACAGTTTTAAATCTGCTGTTTATGGTCTGCCTCCTTTCTGGCACACCACATTGTCTGTTCTTCTCATCCTGAACATTTCATTGGACTGTTGACCTTGTGTCAACCTGCTTACACAAAGAACTTTTCAAGATGGCGGATCAGTTTCTAACAGGGACCGCTCCTGTGTCCCTCTATCCAGAGGGCGGCGCTAATGCTCTTTCAGCACTAAATACAACCGTCAGTAGGCGAAGAAGAAGAAAGTCCGGAAGGCGCCAAAATTGTTTTGTCGTTGGTAAACTCCGTGTTTTTCTCTGTTTTTCTCCGGGACGAATTCACGACGATGACTGAAAACACGTTTCCTGTCCACAACGCGGAGACTTTAGTGAACTTTTATCGAAGTGATGTCCTCACCGGACAAGAAGCTAAACATTTCACCAAAAGCGACCTGACCCCGGTTCCGAAGGTGAGTCCAGTTCGAGCTGAGGTTCGGTACCAGAGTGAACTCGAGTTTACTGAAGGAAACCTTTAGTTAAAAAATATAAATTTATCACAAACAAATGATTTAACCGGGCGATGGAAAACCATTCATTCAGCGGTTGAGGCCAAACTGCAGCTGAAAGTTCATCCATCAACTTTATTTACCCACTTTTTCCTCTCTGGGTCACAGAGAGCTGGTGTGTGTGTCCACCCTCATGTCCCCTTGCTTACCCCATCCCTGCATCGTCTTTTAAAGAAGTTCTACCCTCGACTGGACCCTGTTCTTGCTATTATAAATATCAGTGTTTTTAAACAGAGTAGTAAATCCATTAATGGCACGTCAGTGTCTAATGCTGCTTCACACTGAGGACCTTTTCACTGAACAGTTTATCTTCAGAAAAATCAACATGTCTGCTTTCTCTGGACTCAAACAAACCCACTCCTGGCTGATGGTGTCTCCAGCAGTAGGACATGTTCACTCTGAGGGTGTGGATGGTGCTTGTTGCACACACATATACCTGGTTGCCAGTTTGATAGCACTGACCCTCACATCCCACCAGCAGGTCACTGGATTCAGAGAGGTTAGAGTTGATGCAGACTTCTGCACCTCTGTGTCTCTGCCTGGATCTTCTCTGTGGTTCTCTGGTGTTTAGGACTTTTCTCATCTCCCTAATTGACATGAGAACACAAAACATCAACACTAACATGGTTGTGTTATTATTGTTCAAAAACATTATCTAGGCTGAGAGTTAAAGGCTTCACTGGTCAATAATATCCTTTACAGCTTAACTTACCTCCACCATGCAGCCTCCACTGTAGAAAAAGGCAGCAAACTTTAACAACAAAGTTTGTGACTGTGGCCCCCATCTCACTTTTCTTTTGTCCGTCTCTGTCCTCACATCAGGGTCAGAGGCTCCTGTGATGAGAACATTAACATAAACAGTGAACATTAGTGACCTGTTTAACCAGTGACCCGATGGATGAGCACATTGTTACAAGCTAAGCTTTATCTGTTAGTGTTAAATTTAGTTAGCTTCTGATTTAGCTACCTACATAGATAGCCATAAAATAAATCTACACACTAAAGTTAGCGTTACATGGATCCTAGTTTAACTCACTGAGATGCATGTATTAAGCTGCAGTAACGTTAACAAACGTAAACTTACGAGCTGAAATCCCAGACACAGAGCCGTCCTCGGTGCGATTCGGAGTCCGGTTGTGGAGATTTTGAATCAGGCCGTTCAGGCTCTAACACCCACAGGCTGACTTAAATGCTGAGAGGAGGATGGCTGCAGTCCTCTCTCCTTGCAGTCAAACACAGAGCAACTTTACACTCTTAGCCCCACATGAACCCCGCCTGTTGGCGTAACCACCTATGTGTTTTTCCTGCGTATTGCAAGTTGCTGCACTGGCTGTAACGTTGCATGTGGTTGAAACCACGTGTAACATTACATCCAATCACCGAAACTTGACACTGAAAGACAAGGCATATTTTGATACATATACCGACTGAAGCAGTTCGGTCGGTACCATAACTGAAGTTTGGTACTCAGCCCTGTATATATCATATATTGCGATTTATCTTGAAAATATCAAGATATAAATTTTGGTCCATATCGCCCAGCCCTACCGATGGGACACACATCAGAGTCAATGAGGGGTTCAGTGTCTTAACTAGGGACACTTCAGCATGTGACTGCTAGTGGAATCGAACCCCCAACTCTTGCATTGCAGGACGACTGCTCTAACCACTCAGCCACAGCCGCCCCATGATCTTAACTGATGACCAGTGACTATCATTAATGATAACTAACGATCTAAAAACGTGTTCTTTTGGACATGTGAGACTTATGATGACCTGTTTGTTCCCACATGTTGGGGGCAGAATGAGACGTATTGAATGCAGGTTTCTGGTGGTCATGAAGAACATATTTTTCTCTCTTTCAGCCAGAAGCAGTTCAGACTTTGTACATGAGAGTGTTGCATCTTGTGACCGGCTTCAGACCAGAGTGTCACTCCATGGTGAGTTTTGTCCTTTAAATATGTTTCCTCTCACACATTTTACAGGGACTTTTCATGAATGACCTTCAGCATTAAAAACATTACCTCCAGACTCTATTTTAATGCATCCTGGCTTGTTTATCAGTCAACAAAAAGCTCTCCTTTTTATTTATTGAAGCGGTTAGGTTCTTGTGTGTAAACAACATACAGTATTCTGTGAACTGTGCTTTTCCACTCCCATCTAAAATGATTGAAACAATGAGGTCAGTTCCTTTCTTTGTGCTGTCGACTGAAAACATTTGGTTTGACATCTAAAGATGAGTATGAGACAGTAAAGCAACACGTCTGCTTTTATTTTTAGTTGTTTAAACCGACAGACAGCTCACCCAGCCAGAGACAGAGATTCTTGCCAGGGGACTGAACTTTGCGGTTGCACCAAGTAGAATTCCTCTGGTGGAGATGATCACAGCCACAGAATCAGCCATCCGCAACAACAAAATTAAAGAGTGTGACGCAGAACAGCTCAGAATCAAAGTTTCATCCTGCCTCAGCAATGCCAAACCACCACCTTCCAACATCAGTAGAGAGGAGAGGGATGCACTCACCACTCTTAGCAAGGACAAAAACATCATCATTCTCCCAGCAGACAAAGGAAGGTGCACAGTGATTTTGAACCAGAAAGACTATCATGAGAAAGTTATGACACTCCTTAGTGACTTAACCACTTATGAACCTCTGAAAAGAGATCCAGGAAGTGGTTACAAGAAGAAGTTAATAGATTGCCTGAAAATTTTGGAGCAGGACAAGGCTATTGACCGTTTTCTGTACCACAGACTGTACCCAGGGGAGGCCACACCTAGTCTTTAGTCTATGTTCCGTTAAAACAGGGCAAACACCATTCCTTGAAACAACTCCTGGGGTGTATGGCAGAAGTCAGAGCATGGATGTCACTAAACTTCTTACATTTTAATGACAAAAAGACAGAGGTCTTGTTGTTTAAGCCTAGTGAAGGCTCCAATATCCATGCTGATCTGGGTCCTTTAACAGAACATCTGACTGAGACAGCAACTAACCTGGGCGTGAGGCTGGACAGTGACTTCAAACTTGACACGCAGATTAAATCAGTGATCAAGTCCAGCTTCTTTCATTTGAGACAACTGGCCAAGGTCAAACCATTTCTGTCACAACATCATTTTCAGATCTTAATCCATGCTTTCATCACAACTCGCCTGGATTACTGTAATTCTCTTTATGTCGGTCTGAGCCAGTCATTACTGACTCGACTTCAGCTGGTTCAGAACGCAGCTGCCCGCCTTTTAACTGGTACCAAAAAACGAGAACACATCACCCCTGTTTTAGAATCACTACATTGGCTCCCGGTTCGCTTCAGGATTAATTTTAAGGTTCTTTTATTTGTTTTCAAATGTCTTCATGGTCTCGCCCCACAGTATCTGTCCGACCTGCTCCAGCTGTACACTCCTTCACGCTCTCTCAGGTCAGCAGATCAGCTGCTGCTGGTCGTCCCAAGGTCCAACAGGAGACTGAGAGGTGACCGAGCGTTCTCAGTCGCTGCCCCTAAACTGTGGAACGAGCTGCCTCTGCATGTCAGACAAGCTGGCTCACTTCCTGTTTTTAAGTCTTCTCTGAAGACACATCTTTTCTCTTTGGCTTTTACTTTAGTTTGAAATGTTGGTTTTAATGACTCTAAGTTATTTGTTTTATTTTATTTGTTATCTTTATTTTATTTCACATTTTTAACGTGTGGGGGTTTTTATGTTTTTGTATGTCCTAGTGTACAGCACTTTGGCCAACAGTGTTGTTTTAAAGTGCTCTATAAATAAAGTTGTATTGTATTGTATTGTATGGTTTACCTAAAATCCACAAACAAGGTGTACCTTTAAGACCAATTGTTAGCATGATTAACTCTGTCACTTACAATGTTTCCAAATATCTGGCGTCTGTACTCATCCCTCTAGTTGGCGGCTCAGAACACCACAATTAATAACCACATTATCACATTTATCACAAGCAAAACTGGTTTGTTCCACTTCGGAGTAAGCTGTTGGGGGAAGAATCAGTTTTGTTGTGCGTTTCCTTGACTGATGAAGCCTTCCTTGAATCTCAAAGTGCTATAATGAGTGAACATCAGATAACATCAGGATAAAAAGCAACTGAGAGAAGGAACAACCAGGAGGATAACGCCTCAGAATGATCACATCAAAAACTTAAAATGCAGATAAAATACTCGAATAAGAACTATGGGTGAACAATAAAAAGTACAATGCAATCAATAAAAAAACTGGGTAAAAAAAAGGTTTAAGACCTTTTTTTTTAAAACATGTGGGTCTGTGGGGCCCTCAGATATGAAGGCAGGGCGTTCCACAGCCGAGGGGCAGCGCAGGACAAAGCTCGGTCTCCTGTTGTGCGGGACCGAGACCTGGGAGTGAGAAGAAGATTCGTGTTGGAAGAGCGAAGAGTGTGTGAAGGACAATGAGGGGTGAAAAGTTATTTTAAATAAGATGGCGCATTACCGGACAAGCATTGCTCATGCTTACGCACTCTCATCAGGACTCTGGTAGTGTTGTTCTGGACATACTGTAATTTTTGTATGTTCTTGCCAGGAATCCCGAAGAGAAGTGCATTGCAGTAGTTCAGTCTGGAGGAGACAAAGGCATGGACGAGCTTTTCTGCATTGGTGAAGAGACAGTGTAGACTGAAGCTTTGCAATATTTCGAAGATGAAAACAATAAGTTTTACAGATATGCTTTATATGACTTTCAAAGGTGAGTTGTGGATCAAAAATAACACCAAGACTGGTGACTGTACTGGAAAGAGAAATGTTCTGGCCAGAGAAAGAGATACTGAGGATTTTTTGTTGTTGAATTTGGGGTGAAGTACCAATTTGAATTGATTTAGTTTTTGAACTGTTATGGTGAAGGAAATTTTGCTGCATCCATGCCTTTATCTCCTCCAGACAAGCTGTGAGCGTGGAAAGAGAAGAAAATGGAGAAGCTGAAGATGACGTAGATGGGGTCTCAGACACATTGCTACTCAGCTTACAGCCAAGTATCATCAGCATAGCGATGGAATGAGACCCCATAGCTGCTGATAATACGCCCAAGTGGTACCATGTACAAGTAGAAAAGAAGGGGTCCCAGGACTGATCCTTGGGGCACACCACAAAAAACAGGATGGCTCAATGACTTGGCACGCCCAATGGAGACATCCTCTGTTCTATCCGTCAGGTATGATCGGAACCACTCCAGGACAGTGCCAGTGAGCCCTGTAAAATGCTGTAAACGGTAGAGCAGGATGTAATGATCCACCGTGTCAAAAGCAGCCGAAAGATCGAGAAGAATAAGGAGAGAAGAGGAACCACGGTCAGCAGTGATCAACAGGTCATTTGTGACCCGCATCAGAGCTGTTTCAGTGCTATGAGCAGTACGGAAACCTGATTGAAATTTGTCCAGTGAACTGAGACTAATTTCTCCAGAACTTTAGCGAGGAAGGGAAGGTTGGAAATGGGTCTGTAATTTGCCATGTCACGAGGATCAAGGGTAAGTTTTTTGAGAAGGGGTTTAATTATGGCTGATTTCAGGGCAGGGGGAATATGACCAGATTGGAGGGATTGATTAACTACGGTGGTGATAAGAGGACTGAGAAAGGCAATGTTAGCCTTGACTAGGGTGTTGGGAAGGGGTCAAGAGCACATGTGGAGGGTTTCATAGCCCTGACAGTGGCTCACCACGAACGTGCAACGTCACCAGATGGCTCTCTTCTTGAACTTGGAGATAACCAGCTGACTCCAAAGACTCCCCCATACCATTGAGTCTGGTTCAGATCCTGAAACCATCAGTAGAGGCTCCAAACACAAGTCGCCACTGTTCCTTCACGTGGCATTCAGGAAAAGTGCTGACCTCAAATCGACCTTCAGATTTCACACTTGATGGATGAGCCCTTCCAGAGGCCTGACAAGTTTGTTCCAGAGGTTAAGGCCTAGCTTGGAATATGTATAAGTACAGCCTATTTACCATATAAAATCACTCTAATGCAAGGTTGATAAAGAAAGAAAGTCTAAATTTTCCTGGAACTAACATTAACAATTTGGTTAAAATTAACTCCCCTCTAGTCCAGTTTCCAAAGTATAAAACAAAACAAAATGTTTGCACACCTAATGTCTTCTAAATCCCATGTCACAATCTAAAACATCCTGTTCAGAATAGTTTCATATTAGAACCAGTTGACAACTTATAGTCAAACAGGATTTTTATCTAAGAGTCGTTATCGGTCAAAGCATTTATGTTGTTAACTAGAAGTTAGCATAAACAAATCTAATACCATTTGAGTTTCAATTAGATGTGATCACATAATCCAACATTTTATAATAATGTTACATGCGTTTTGCTTGTTGATGTTCTTTTAATTTTTATTTGGATCAGTTTAAGGTATAATTGTCTCTAATGCACAGATACACCCACTAGTCTTGTTGAGATCTGACTAAATTAAATGATAATCAAATAAATAATTAGGCCCGAGCAGCTAAGCGCTGCGAAGACCTATTGTAACCGCTCTGTTCAGGCCTGAGCTGCATTTTTTTCCTGCCAAATGAATTGGCGTTTTGGGGCATTCACATATCCCGAAAGTCACCAAATTTGGCGTACACATCAGGACTGGTGAAAAATTACATATTTTAAGGGCGTAACAAAAATCGCACCAGAAACGGATCAAGAGCGCCACCTAGAAATTTTCAAAATACCATCTGCATTAACCTTAGTTTGGCGTAGAAACATGAAATTTGGGACGCTTGTCCAATTCCCCAAGATGCACAGAAAACCCTCTGGCACCAACGTTGTACGATAAAATATGTGCATCCTGGTGGACGCGTGCGGGAACGGCATGAGAGCGATGGCGACTGGCAGGTGTTGATGGAGCTCCCGCAGTCACAGGTGATGTTGAAGTTTCGGTGAATGCGCAACCCGGTGAACGAGCAGGGGACGAGAGCGTTGGTGATGGCGACTGGGCGGAGTCGCTGGAGCTCCTAAGGCCAGAGCGGCGCTTTGCTGCGAGGGCCTTCAATGCTGCTTGCAGCTTTAATTCAGATTATTTCCCACCTGGTACCCTGGTAATAAGCAAATGAATAAAAGATTACCGGTACATGTGTATCAGATCCAGATGTTGAAATCTGGAAATAAAAGCAGAAATGTTGCTCAGTTGTCTCATCTGTTGTAGACTGAAAACGTTAGGGTTTCACATCAAAGGAATGAAGTTGGGCTCACTGTTCCAGAGGGACCTCATGTTCTTTTGTTTTCCTACAGGTTCCACTGTTGGAGAACATCCAGTATCCAGCCTATCATGAAGGAGCCTCTTATATCCTGAGTGTCTACATGCGCATGTGAGTAGGGGTGGGCGATATGGCTCAAATATAATATCGTGATATTTCAGAGCATTCTGACAATAACAATAAATTTTGTGATATAACAAAAAAAACTACAGAAATCATAATTATTTATTTGACAAAATTAACTTAATATGTTGCTTTGCAGTATTATATAAAATTTTAAAAAACGGGGTAATTTTACTGAAATTACTTTATTTAGTAAAGTATTCAGTCTCCAAGTATAAAAATAAAAATGAGCCTTCTGTTATTTAGATGGAAAAAGTCTGCACAAAATATAGATCAATAAATCCACCACAAAAACTAAAGTGCAGGTGAAGTTTCCCAAAATAATCAAATAAAATGAAGCTCAACATCTGTTGAGCATAGGGCTGAGTACTGAACCGAGGTTCTTTTATGGCACCGACCGAACTGCACCGGTCGGTGTATAGATTGAAACGTCACTCTTTTTTCGGTGTCGAGTTTCGGTATTGTCTGTAAGGTGTCACGTGGTTTCAGCACGCAGGCAGGTAAAACACAAACATATAGCAAACAGACTACGTGTTTACACCCAGAGCTGTATAGAGCTGCCACACCTAATCTATGTATAATGTATGTCTATGGTGCTGATGACGCCCACAGATGAGATTCACGTGCGCAGTGCGTGTTGTCGAACAGCTTCGACAACACACGAGCAGAAAGTTGCTCCGTGTTTCTCTGCAAGAAGACAGACGGACAGCAGCCTCCCCCCTCCTCTCAGCGTTAGTCAGTCTCTGTGTGTGTTAAACGGAATCAACAGTCCACGGCCGGACTCGTCTTCATCAAAGAACTCCCGAGGACGGCTCTGTGTCTGTGTTTCAGCTGGTAAGTTTACGTTTGTTAAAGTTACTGCAGCTTAACACGTACATTGTGGTGAATTAAACTAGAATCCATGTAACGCTAACTTTAAGATATTAGTGTGTAAATTTATTTTATCTACGTAGCTAGCTAAACTCAGAAGCTAACTAAAGATTGACAGTAACATGAATCTTAGCTTGTAAAAATGTGCTCATCCATCCAGTCAGCTGCTTAAATAGTTCACCTAATGTTCATCGTTTGTTTATGTTCTCCTCACAGGAGGTTCTGACCCAGATGTGAGGACAGACAGAAAAGCGAGGTGGGGGCCACAGGACAGTCACAGACTTTGTTGTTAAAAGTTTGCTGTCTTTTCTACAGTGGAGCTGCACGGTGGAGGTAAATTAAGCTGTAAAGGATTGTTGTTGACCAGTTAAGCTTTTATTTCTCAGCCCAGATAATGTTTTTTGATCAATAACAACAACACCATGTTATTGTTGATGTTTTGTGTTCTCATGCCAATTAGGGAGATTATAAGAGCCCTAAACCACAGAGAAGATTCAGGCAGAGACACAGAGGTACAGAAGTCTGCATCAACTCTAACCTCAGTGAATCCAGTGACCTGCTGGTGGGATGTGAGGGACACTATGTCAAACTGACAACCAGGTCAGGTGTGTGCAACAAGCATCATCTACAGCCTCAGAGTGAAGACTTCCTACTGCTGGAGACACCATCAGCCAGGAGCAGCTTGTTTGTGTCCAGAGAAAACAGACATGTTGATTCAGAAGACAAACTGTTCAGTGAAAAGGTCCTCAGTGTGAAGCAGTGAACATTAGACACCGACGTGTCACTTGTTTGTAACTGGTCTTTGAACTGGAAATTATTTGTTTATTTTAATGTAAGAAAACTGCTTGGAATAGAAATACCAAAGTTAAAAAATAAAATTCACAATTTGTACTGTAATGTGTAACGTAATTTTATTCTTGTTAGAATTAATATTAATTACAAAATTGGTACCGAAAAAAGAACCGTCCAGGAACTGACACCGAAGTGAAGGTACTGACACCGGTACCGATACCAATTTTTTTTGGAAAGGAACCCAGACCTAGTTGAGCATAAATGTAACATACAAGAAAATATATGTTGCCTTTAAATGAGCTATAACTTCCAGAACTTGTAACAAGGTGATCAGCTGACCCTGAAGCTTGTGGTGTTTCAGCTTTCTCTGTTCCTGCAGGAATGACTCATTTCTCTGATGCTCTGTCTCTGATCACATGACTCTGTTCTTGGTCCATGGACTGTGGAACTAAGAGACAGTTGAGCTGCGCGTGTTTGTACCTGCAGTTTAGAGCTGGATGGAGAGGGTCCGTGTGCATTCAGGCAGTTCGTTTTTCCGTTTGAAACAAAAAATGAAAAAACAAAAAACACTTGTTTTTTGTTTTCCGTTTATTAAATCCAAATGAAAAATCGGATAACGAAGCGTCATCCGATTTCCGATTTTGTGCACAAAACAAAAATGGAAAAAACGGATAACGAGTGCTCTGTTTCAATTTTCATGATTTCGTTTTGACAAGTGGTCTGACCCGGAAGTTCTCTTTGCCCCGAACCACACCGTGTACGTGTAGCTTGCTGCTTGTGTACACGTCCAAAACGGCAGTGAATTAATACAAATTAATTTGATTTTTACCCACCGACAACCTTATATCCTGACTTTTTTTAAAATGTAGATTAAAAACACGTAAGAACAGAGAAAATTCCGAGACGTAGTTTGCTGAATCCGGAAGTAAGCCCAATTTGAACCTTCTGATCTCCATGGTAACTGATGCTGGCCCCGTCACCTAATCTGATTATTTATATAATCAGAATCAGAATAAAATTTATTGGCATTGCACCGAGATACAACACGAACATGTACGTACAGTCGTCCAAAAGATGGGAGTGCACAAAGCTGCAACTATAGAAAGTGCGGCCTTTTCTTATTCTTATTCAGAATAATATGTTTTAGATAGGAAAAGGGGGAGAAACATGAGGGTAGATAGTGGTATTACAAAAAAAGATCTTTCACATCTTGTCTATCAGGACACGATTTCAGACATCAAAAAACTCTACCAGCACAATTAAAATATGATTACATTTGCATTTGACATCGAGGTGTTGAGATTTGTCCATGAGCGTTTTTCTGATCAGCCACAGTTTCTGAAGATGTTGTTTCAGCTAGCAGTTCTGATGAGCTTAAATACAAACCGGATTCCAAAAAAGTTGGGACACTAAACAAATTGTGAATAAAAACTGAATGCAATGATGTAGAGATGGCAAATATCAATATTTTATTCGTAATATAACATAGATGACAGATCAAAAGTTTAATCTGAGTAAATTTAACATTTTAAAGGAAAAATATGTTGATTCCAAATTTCACAGTGTTAACAAATCCCAAAAAAGTTGGGACAAGTAGCAATAAGTGGCAGGAAAAAGGAAATTGAGCATATAACGAACAGCTGGAAGACCAATTAACACTAATTAGGTCAACTGACAACATGATTGGGTATAAAACGAGCTTCTCAGAGTGTCAGTGTCTCTCAGAAGCCAAGATGGTAAGAGGATCACTAATTCCACCATTGTTGCGCAGAAAGATAGTGCAGCAATACCAGAATGGTGTTACCCAGCGTAAAATGGCAAAGACTTTTAAGTTATCATCATCAACCGTGCATAACATCATCAAAAGATTCAGAGAATCTGGAACAATCGCTGTGCGTAAGGGTCAAGGCCGTAAAACTGTACTGGATGCTCGTGATCTCCGGGCCCTTAAACATCACTGCACCCCAAACAGGAATGCCACTGTCAAGGAAATAACAGAATGGGCTCAGGAATACTTCCAAAAAGCATTGTCAGTGAACACAATCCACCGTGCCATCCGTCGTTGCCAGCTGAAACTCTACAGTGCAAAGAGAAAGCCATTTCTAAGCAAGCTCCTCAAGCTCAGACATTTGCACTTGTTTCCCTTCTACTTGGCCTCTTGGACACATAAAACATCTACCTTCTTTCTCTGTATCATGTCAGGCAGCTCTCTACCTCTGCCTTTCATTGTTCCCACATTAAGATTTGCAACCCTCAGTCCTACATTCTTGACTTTCCTCTTCTCCCTCTGTCTCCTGACACGTTTCCCTCCTCGTAGTCTTTGACTAATAGTAGCACAATTTCTGCCTGCACCCTGTTTGTCAACAGCACAGGTGGCGGTCGTCGTTAACCTGGGCCTCGACTTATCCGGTATGATTCCACTTTTATGTACTCGCATTATGGGGCCTAATTGTGGCTGCTAATTTTCACCCCACCTGGACAAGTAGGGTGTGGTGGGAACGGGTGAGGGGGGGGGGTGAGGGGCTGGGTTTGTATTCACTTAGGGAGAAGAGGGGCCACGTGGGAGAAAGAGAAGACATCTGGTGGATTTTCAAGTACAACACTATATACCGTTTATATCAATATTTTCTCGTCTTATATCGCGTATGAAATTATCTCAATATTTTTAAAATATCAAGATAAAGCTTAGTCCTAATAAATATAAATGTATGTATATTTTTATTATATCTTGTCATTTTGAATATAATACAATTTTGTTTTTAACCAAAGTTGCTGCTAATTTTGACAGTTTCAGCTGATGTTTCAGTAGCAGTAGACCAGAGCAGCTAATTTAGACCAATTATTCTGGTTAACTTCTTGCTTGCTCTCGATGAAGACGGACACTTTTTTTTCCCCCTCCTGCTTTTTGCTCTTGTCCTGTGAATCTTTTGCATAGCCTCTCTTTACACATCTTTCAAATCATAAAATATGGTTCTGGTCAGCTGGTTTCTCAACTTAATTGATTACATTTTCTCGACAAGATGACAGGGTGCAGGAGAACACTTGCAGCTGGATATATCATGGATTCCTGTGGCAAGTAAATGATGGTGTATTTGTCCGTATTGTCCGTTGCGGATGTTGAAGATGCGTACACAATTGGATTTATGATAACAGGATTTCTGCTTTTTTGAATTGGCGTGTACCTGGCATATCGACAAATTCAGAAGACATTGGCAGCAGTTCAGGCAATTGTGAAGCTGCTTGTCTTGTGTGAAGGAATGTAACGTGCTTCTAGCGCTCAGAATCTTTGTGAGCTAAGTCATAAGCTGGACATGATTTCTGAGAATCGCAGGCCACTTGTGGCTCCTGGACCTCGCTGGCATGAAGGAATCGACCTTGGAGAAGGCTATAAGCACTGCATGGCGAAGTGACTATAAAATCTGGCTGTTTTGGATCGCCACTGAGAGGTACCAGCAGAACTTTAAAGGCAGATTAAATAAATCAGAGTCGGCCTGTCCCAAAACAATGTGTTATCTGAATCTGGCTTCCCCACTTGGCCTTGAATAGGCTAATTTATCTCAAATTTCTCCTGGAGGTTATGCGAACTAGAAGCTCTGCTTTGCTCCGCCCCTCCCCTTCCTGCTCTCTTCCCGAGAACGTCTGTGGAACTTTATCCGAGTTGAGCCAGCTGATAAACACTGTAAATGGACTGTACTTGTATAGCGCCTTTCTATCTTATCGAGATACTCAAAGCACTTTACACTACAATCTGTGTCCTCATTTACCCATTCATACAGCTCTATTCTAGATCTCTACAAAGCTAATTGAACAAATCATTCTAAAGAGACTAATCAGTGCTTTGAGATCACATTCATACACCGATGGGACACATTGGAGGCATCGAGGGGTTCAATGTCTTGCCCTGAGACACTTCGACATGTGACTGCTGGTGGATTCGAACCCCCCAACTCTTGCATTGGAGGCCGACTGCTCTAACCACTCAGCCACAGCCGCCCCATCTCTTATCAGGACAGGAACTTTCTGGAGGTGTTCACGGAAAACTCACTCCCTTTCCGAGGACACCTTTGGACCTGTATTAGAGCTGAGCCTGCTGATAGACACTGTACCATCTCTTATAAGGACTATGGAACTTTCTGGCATTGTTTATGGACAACTCACCGCCTTTGTCGACCTCCTTCTCATAAATGTATCATGACGTCATTATGTGGTGTTTATGTGCGAGGTCTTTTCTTTTTTTCAACTTTCACACTAGGAGTAGCACATAGTGCTCGATACAATTTTTTATACCTCCTCTCCCCTCATGTTTTCTCTTTTCTTTACTTTTGTCTGTTTGTCTGTCTAGAACAGATCTCACTTGTAAATGAGTCTCAGAGGCTCAGTATGATTAATCAGTATAAATAAAGTTTGAATGAATGAATGAAAAACTTTAGATCGAGACTCCATGATCCACAAGTTGGTAATTATCTCCGGTTATGTTTTTGTTTCTCATAGTAATTGTAGACCAGAATGAACTACAGTAATCTAAATGAAGTCTTACTCTTTGCCTAATTTAATCCCCATCTGTGAAAACCCCACTTTGATTGTCATTCTAGAGTAGACTGACAAATCCCAACTTGGACGGTGTAATCCTAGTCCATAATTCTGAGCAAGTTTATAAAGTGTTGTGTTCATTAAGTGGATTCATGGAAGTGTGTGTTGTTTCAGGTGCCAGTTCCTGCCCATGTGCCTGGTGTATGACTTTTCACTCAGTGATCTTCTGGCTCCAAGTAAGTGTCTTTATCGTCTCGGCTTGTATTATTATAAATTAGACAGCTGTTTCAATGTTGTTATGAAGCCGCTCTTGGTTTCCCAGCTCTAGATGTACAGTCTGTAAACGAAAAGTTATTCTCTCTCGACTGTAGAGAAAACAAAGTTTGTATTACTTTTACATTTGTATTGTGGGGAAAATCCTTTTTAAGTTCAGGTTTGATTAGCAGACAAGTTCTCAATAAATGATGCAAAGGGCTGCCAGGTGTCCCAGAGTCGTCCTACAGAATGCTTCAGGGTGTATCTGATTTTTTCCAGATGGATAAGGTACATCACCTCCCTTACCCAATGTACATATGCTGGGGGGTGTAGGTCTTTCCACTTGCACAAAATTAGCCTCCTGAGGAGAAGAGAGCCAAAAGCAATCACAGCCTTCTCGCATTTGCTGAAGGACGTGTCCACTGGGACCACCCCGAACAATGAGATGAGTGGTGATGAGTGTACAGCAGGAGTGCCCAATACGCATATCGCGATCTACCGGTAGATGATAGGCCAAGTAAAACCAGAGTTGTGATCGTCAAATCTCAAGTGCATTACAACGAGAAGCTGCAGCCGCTGGACACATGAACAACCTCCCCCATCCTTTCTGACAGAGGCTTTAAGTTATTTGTCAAGCACCAAATAATTACAAAAAATAAGAAGACGCGGAAGTTGAATGGAGTTCAGTGAGAGATAAAGTCAGCGAAAGTGGATGTGATGAAGAGGATGATCATTTGTTTTAGAAGAGGAAGAGTGGACCGAGCCCAGGTCTGACTGCGCAGAGGAGGGGGTCCAGAACCAGCATCAGTTCTGAGCTCTGGAGAACAGAGGAGGATGTGGACGTTGACCCAGACTAATGGAGAAAAAAATACACTTAAAAAAATTTTTTACAGTAAAATAAATATTTTGTCAATAAAAAATAATAATAATGTAGAGGTTTTAAACAAAAAAAAAAAACCCACAAGCATTAAAATAAAAATCATTTAAATTCAATATATTTTTTTGAGGCTGACGGCTAAAAAATACTTTTTTTGTGTGGAGGAAATATTTTAAACTAGCATCTTGATGCATGCTCAATAATCCAGGTAGAAAAATCTAAAAAAGTTAAGTCTGGTCCTCTGGACGGGTTTTTTTTAACCCGTCCAGAGGACCAGACTTAACTTTTTTAAAAATTGACGATTACATTGTGCAAATCGTAAAACTAACTAGTTAACTTAAAACTTAAAACTAGTATTTTTAAGCAGTTACCGTAATTAAGATGGTTGATTTTCCCTCAGAGGAACATGAATAAATAAAGTTAAAGGGTTAAAAACGTCTTATTCAAATAAGATAATAATGTCTGTAGTTAGAGGAAACTGAGGTTTTTGAGCTGCATGCATTCAGCTGGGAGCTGCAAGATGATGAATAAAGATTCATTAATTGTGAAATAATTATTTATTAGAACAAAATCCATGCTCAGTAATCCAGGTATAAAATCCAACATTTTTCAGTAAGGTCATCTGGACAGATGATTAAAATTAAAAATTATTATATAGCTAAGACACGGTCCCGTCTCAGCTGTGGAACAAGACGGCTAAAGTGTTAGCCGTCTTGTTAGCCGCTAAGGACCGTATCTTTAGCAATATGATAAACTGATGATTTAATAATGTTGCGCTACCTCTCTCTGTTCCTCACAGCACGGCTAAATGAATTCTGAATCATGGTTTATTTCAGGGAAGGAGACAGGTCTGTCGGACCTGCAGCTGCCTGCCCTCCTCCTGGAGAAGCGTGGGGGGGGGGGGGGGGGGGGGGGGGGGGTGGGGGGGAGGGGGGAGAGGGGGGGGGGGGGGTGGGAGAAAGAAGACGGCAGGAGGATTTCCAAGTATAAAACTGTATCGTTTTATATCGAGATGGTCTCAATTTACATCACAAAAAAAATTATGTTGATATTTTTTAAACATCGAGGTATCGCCCAGCTCTAGGCTGGGCCATATCATATATCAATCACAATAGTACTGGTAAAAAAAAAAAACTTACCCCGGAAAATAAATTATATCGTGATACGCTAATTTCATGGCATATGTCATCCCACCACACAGCGGATTACGCTCACGTGGGTCATGCAGCGATATTCAAGTTGTAAAGGTTGCAGAGCTCCTCTTTAATCGAACCCCCTCCTTCGTGACATTGGATGTTCGTTGTAAGACGTATTGTGTCACTTCCTGTTTTCTCTGCCGGTAGCTCGAGGATTCTTTTGTTTTCTTGATTTATCTATCTTTTGCAGTTTTTCATTCTAATACACAAACTAGAATTGCACCGCTCGGAGTGGCTGCTTGTTGGAGTAGCTCTGTTACTTTCTGAGTTGCTTTTTTTTTCTAGATGTAAATTGCTTTTTAGGATGATTGTTTCCTCTGGTATCGGATGCTGTGCAGCTGGATGGATTTTTACTGAGAGCTTTTTCTTTTGGGCATTTGTTATAATGCGTAACCACAGCAACAAGGTGTTTTTAAAAACCAGGAGCAGCTGATTAACATCTCAAAAGCTCAATACCTCACCTACAGCCACAAATCCCAAATGAGTTGAAAAGGAGGCGCCGTGGACGAATTCCCGTCAACCTGGTAGCAGTGCTCGAGTACCTGACCGCCGAGATCCTAGAGCTGGTGGGGAAACTCAGCTCATGACAACGGGAGGACTGGGATCATCCCCCGGCACCTTCAGCTGTCTGTCTGTGGCAATGAGGAGCTTTCTGACAGTCCTGCTGCCCAGGAGGACCAAGAGGTCCGCCAGATCTGAGAGCAAGCTGGATTCGGGTGGACAGATCGGTATCTGTGGCCAGATTCTTCGGATTTGCTGCAGGAGATTCTTCTTTCCCACAGCTATCAGCATCTATAACCACTCTTAAATGAAACCAGGATGATGAGCTACGACAACACCTAGGTTGTTTTCACAGCTGATAGTCCGGTAGACTCCGGTTTGTTTGTCCTGCGCTGTACTCCACTTCTTGCTTGTGGAGCGGGCCCGATCTGTTTACATTCACACTGCACTCGAACCGCGCTGGAGTTCTCTTCTACCGGACCCAGACCTAGGTTTTAGCCCGGGCCAGAGTTCACCTTTTTGTTCCGTGACAGAGTTCGATGATGCGTTCACACCTCCCCAAACGAACCGGACTTTCTAGGAAAACGCGCTAGAGTTTGATTAAAGTTGACTAAACAGGGCTGGTGTGAATGCATAAAGTATTTTTGAATTTGAATTGAATTGAACACCTTCGGTACAGTTGTTTTTTTTACTGTTGGATTGTTCTTGAAACACCTTTTATCTTTAAACACTTCAGTTTTTCTTGATGTATTTTTGGATCTGCTAGCTCTTGCTAGCGTTAGCTTAGCATGGCTGCTGCTCCTCTCCCTGCTTCCTCTGTTTTCTCCTGCACTGTGTCAGATGTTTAGCTACTCCTCTGCCTCCTTTAGTGGTAATGATGATACATGTAACAAATGTAGTCTTATGGTAGCTTTGGAGGAGAGGCTGTCTGAACTGGAAGCTCGACTCCGCGCTGTTGAAAAACCAGTAGCTAGCCAGGTCCCCTTAGGTAGCATGCAACAACAGAGACTAGCTCCCGTTAGTGGTCCTCCAGCAGCCCCCGAGCAGCCGGGACCCCAGGCCGGCTGGGTGCCAGTCCAGAGTAAGAGTAGTGCTAAGGCTAAGCCCCCAGTTCACGTTTCTAATCGATTTTCCTCGCTCAGTGACGCACCCGCTGAGAAGCAGACCCTGGCAGCTCCATAGTCCGAAACGTGGCTTTAGGGACTCCAGCAGCCATAGTTAAATGCATCATGGGGGCCAGAGCAGGCGACATTAAATCTTATCTTAAACTGCTGGCTAAATCCAATAAGGTGACGTCGGCGGTAATGACACCCGGTTACGTCAGTCGGAGGTCACTAAAATTAATGTTGCTTCGGTGTGCGACTTAACAAAACCATGTCAGTCTTTGTAGTTTTCTCTGGCCCCCTCCCCAACCTGACCAGCGATGACATGTTCAGTTGTATGTCGTTGTTCAACCGCTTGGTGTCCAGGTGGTGTTCTGACAACAGCATGGGCTACATAGATAACTCAAGTGCTTTTAACTAAATTAGTTTTTGTGGTTGATTTTGTTGTTCTATATTTTGTGCAGACTTTTTCAATCTAAATAAGTGAAGGATCATTTTATTGTGTATTTTTATACTTTGAGACTGAATACTTTATAAAGTAATTGCAGTAAAATTAAACCATGTTGTTTTGAAATAATTCTGCAAAGCAACATGTTAAGTTAATTTTGTCAAATGAGTAACTATAATTTTTTTTATATCATAAAATTTATCGTTATCGTCAGAATGCTCTGAAATATCACGATATTATGTTTGAGCCATATCGCCCACCCCTACTTCCATTGGCATTTAGCGATCACAGTGGGTGAGCGTTCACCCGCTGACTCAAGAAGTCCATTAATTCTAAAGTTGTTACATCTGGTTTTTAAGCTCATCGATCTCAGTCCTCAACTCCACCACCGTCCCACGCAGCCTTTCCAACTCATCCGAGTGGGAAGACAAACAATTTTTCATCTCCAAATCAGCAGATCCAGCTCAGTCGAGCTCCGCTCTGAGACCCCGGCAGTGCTCGCCAACTCGGCCCGGACCACCTGCAACTCTTGATAAAGTTAAAATCCTCCGTCAAAGTCGCTCTTAGTTCCATCTTAGTCATTGCTGCAACATCGGCTCTTATTGAGGCCAGGAGTTCTGTCATCAGAGCCAACTCACGCTTCCCTCCAGAGCCTGGCGGAGGGGGAGCCCAAGCTGCTGCCTCATCAGCGTTTCCATCATGGCGGTCCGAGACATTAGCATTAGCATTAGCAATAGGCCGTGAGGGAGACGACGATGAAACCTTCGATTTTTATTTTTCTGCTTTGAGGCCTTATTACCAGCTTGTTGATCCAGTTTTGCGGCGACACCAAACTTAGAAACAAAATCCAGCCCAAAGGCAGCGAGAGTGCACTTGTAAAAAATATTTTTTCATCAGGACCAACGGGAGCTCCTCCGAAACACATGGTGGACACCATTTTGTCCTCTGTTTTCATCTTTTTGCTTTTCATTTTTGAGAACATTGTGGTTGAGAGGTGGTGCGTTGACATGTGTGACGTCTAATCCAGAAACCTAACCTGCTCAGGAGCAGATTAGGGTTCCAGCATCAGTTACCATGGTAACAGACCCATGCTGTTGATAAGACTCTGATCCTGCTCCATAGTCCAGGACTCTGGATCAGTACTCCAGTCTCAGGAACAGCCTTGTCATCGTAGCAGGAATGATCAGGAAGCTGCTCTTGTTTCCTCAGAAAAACAGAGGACTCTGACCATTCTGAGTGCCATCATGAACTTCCTTCACTTCAGGAAGCAGAGGATGGACGTGCTCTTGGAGAAGCAGACCAAACTGGTATGTTACTACATCTTTGTGGGGTGGGGTGCATTCAGTTCAGTTTACTGATGTCATCCTTCTGAAAGTTAGTTGTAGGACTGCTACGTTCATTTTATGGATGTTTAACAGGTTTACAGTTTTCTCCAGCTGTGATATTATTATTATTATTATTATTAGTAGTAGTAGTAGTAGTAGTAGTGGTAGTGGTTGTTATTGTTGTTGTTGTTGTTGTTGTTGTTGTCGTCGTCGTCGTCGTCGTCGTCGTCGTCGTCGTTGTCGTCGTCACCTGCATGAAGGTGTGAATCAGAGGGAAACTGACTGGAGTCAGACTTAATGCTGCGCTGTAGGTTTCTAGAACGTTGAAATCTGAGACCTCCTCTGTTTAAAGGCGTCTTTCTCTTGTTTGACGTAAATGTCTTCCTTCACCCCTTTCTCAAACATCTGTCCACTTTGGACAGTTAAGTCCTCAGCGATTGGCCTTTATGATAATGTAGAAATAGTGAAACCAGTGAAAGCCCTCCGTTTCAAACAGTGGGGGTGTGTTTGTGTTGTCAGAGGTCAGACATGGACAGACTGCAGGCGTGCACCAGGAGCATCCAGGAAGCAGAGAGGAAGATTGAGATGCTGACGTAAGTCTTGTTTTATTTCAGTTTCTTTATTTCAGCGTTTCCTTGTCAGCTCCGCATTAGATCTGCTTACTCGTCTTTTAAAGATGAATTCAGTGCATCTGATCAAAATCAGCCTGGGAGGGAAGATCTGATGCTTTGTCTTGATTGTGACCCGTCTTGTTCTCAGAACCATCCCACCAGAGCAGCAGGCGGAGGCAGACGAGCTCGCAGCTGCTCTGTCTGAGCTGCAGACCGCCACCATGCCCGAGTACCAGGAAGTGGTAGGTGGAGATGGAGCGCAGTGGGTTAGGAGGTTCTAAAGTTCTCAGTTAAAGACTCCGCTCTGCTTTCAGAACGCCACCAACGAGGCCATCGCAGAGTGGAAAGCCAGAATCGCAGAGAAGACCCAGAAGTTGGTGAGGGACTTGTTTCAGCTGCGTACACCTCTGTGCTGCCATGGATTTTTACTGAGCGCGTGTGTGTGTGCACGTGAACCAGGCCCAGGTGAAGGTGGATGTGGGTCAACTGAAGGAGGACATCAGTAAACTGAAGTCTCAGATTGTTGAGTCTCCAGAGGAGCTGAAGAACCAGATGGAGAAGATGAGAGAGAGTGTTAAAAGCATCAGGAGCTCCATAGTGAGTTGGATGTTGTGTCCTGCCTCACCCTTACCTGGTTGTCCCACACCTGTCAGTCATGCTGGACGTTCGTCTGCAGAAAGACACAGACGAGCTTCTGGTGGAGCTGCAGAACTCGGTGCAGAGCGTGAGCCACACTGAGGCTGAGATCCAGCAGTTGTTCAGCCTCCTGCAGGATCTGGAGAGCGGCATGAACACCAGCAAACGGAGGCAGGAGGAGGTATGTCCACAGCGCAATCACCATGTCTCTGGATGTCTTGTTAAAGGACAGATTGTCCCCATTTAATCTCCATTTAAAAAATCAATCATCATGTCTTTTCTAGATCTTCCGTATTTTTTGGCCTATAAATTTTTGCATAATTTGCATGTCCTGCGACTTATAGGCTTAAGCAAAGGAGGGATTTTTTTTTTCACGTTTATAAACCATTTTTTGGCTGAGATACGCCGTTTTCATTCATTCAGACTGGAAAAAAAGAGCAGTATCACTTTCAGCCACTAGATGGCAGCAGAGTGTTAATAGAGAGGCATGCCGTTGTATCATGTAATAGGTAAATATGGCTAAAATGACAAATTCAAAAAAGTTAAAGACAAAAACAACTGGACTTTATTTATTATACTATACTTTGTTTTTTTCTTGAACCTTTTTGAATTTACCATGTCCTGGATGACTGAGAATCTTCACCAGTTATTAATGACTCAATCGGCCTGCCATAGCCTCCCCACCTTCTGCTTGAAACCGTCAAATCAGCTGCACCGCCCCGGCGAAATGCAGCTGATTTGACCGTCAAAGTGCATTTATTAAGCAAATGTTAGACTGAAACACATTTAATATAATTTCGAGCAAACAAATAATTGTTTTTAAGTGTTAATTTTGTTAAATTCTTGTTGAAGTCCTCCTGTGCACACTCCCGCGGCCACCGTTTGGCAGCCCATCGGTTTTTGGCACAACACCGGCACACATTTCCGGGTTGTTGGCGGTGACGCGTAATAGATGCGTCGTATACGGTAAAGCAACATATTATGGATTTTTCCACTTTATTAGACAAATATGGAGTGATGCGACGTGTAAAATACGGTATTCATCATTAGGGTTACCAACTATTAGATAAATGTTTGTTTCAGATACAGTATGGTGAAAGAGGAGATCATTCAGGAGACTTGGGCAGGAACTTCCACGTCAAAATGTTTTAAAAATTGAAAGATGAAAGTTTCTTAGAAGTTTAAAAAGAGTGTCACGTTGGACTAATTGACAGCTGTTGGGCAGATAAGGCCCCCACATACTCGGGGACACTGTGTGTACTCCGTGAGCTGCGCGGACTCCGCCTGTACGGTCCGCAGACGGTGGAGGCTTCACACTCGAGTGTACAGACGGCCTAATCCTCTCGTGACATTTTTTCATTCCTCACAATTTCAGTCATGGCGTCAACGGACAAGGAGAAGAGATGTTTTGCCTCTTAGCTTTTAAAGAATTGTATATTAAAAAAGTGTCAAAGAAATTGAGATATTCTTTTAAAACAAACAAAAGAAAAGAAGGTGGTACATAAGGCCATTAAACCAGACCTGCGATGAAGAAGGGAAACTGAATACACTGGTGAGGGACATGAAGACGATGGACCGCGAGAAACACGTTGAATATTTTCCAATGGATTCTAGAAAGTTCGATGAGCTACTTGGGTGCTTCACCACCGGGGCAGCCACCGCACCCGTCAGCGCTGCGCAGACAGCGGCAGTCGCGCTGCGGTTGGTGTTTGACGTGAACACCATTTCTCACCGGGCACTTTATTGTGCGACACGGAGTATGCGGTCATAAAAATGTGATTGTTGCGTGGATGGCTGGCAGACCTCCACCTAGAGTACGTGCGGACCTCCACCTAGAGTACGTGCGGACCTCCACCTAGAGTACGTGCGGACCTCCACCTGAGTACGTGCGGACCTCCACCTCGAGTACGTGCGGACCTCCACCTGAGTACGTGCGGACCGCCACCTCGAGTACGTGCGGACCTCCACCTCGAGTACGTGCGGACCTC